TGGCCTTATACTTCTATCAAAGTCAAGTCTCAATTGAATTGTGTCTTACATCACAATCCTTAATTCTTTTCTATATAATTCTCATATATATTATATAATATTGTAGCTTTTCTCATACACTTTAATTTAATTTCTATATAATTATATTTACATTTTTATAACAGCCATTTTATCTTCCATCTAACACTCTTATGTTTTGGCTCTTTTATGAAATTCTCGGTGTAAACAAATTTAAAAAAATATCATTAAGCTTGCTGTAACGATATGAGGCATGCAATTGACCTTTCACCTGTTAACACTTTATACCTGCCTCTCTATCTCTCTATCTCTCTCTCTCTCTCTCTCTCTCACTCTGTTGCTCTTTCTCACATTTCCTCTTAACTAGTTTAAGGTCCGTAATGGCTTCGTTAGCATCTGTTTACTTGGCTTCGTTGACTATAACTTCATCAATATTTGATACCTACTGCCTGCTTGCCGTTCTCCTTCCGGTTGACGTCGTCGCCATCGTCGTCTCTTCAGCTCGCCTGGCACAAATTAACATTTTGTGTTTTTGCAATTTGTCGAACAAAAAATCAATTAACTTATTAATTGAGCAGCTGCCACTGTTGCTGCTGGGCGTCCTCGACTGTGGCTGAGCGAGCTCAGGTTATTTTTGATTGTGAGTGGATGCTCTTCCTCGTCCTTTCGCTTATTTATTGAAGCTCGCATTCACGCCACGTCACGCAGGGACACAAATTAACTTTACTTGTTCACCCCGTCCAGTCAAGGCCATTTCTTTTGTTGCCCTTCTCCTATAGGAGACCCCATTAGGGGGCAGCGCCTTAGGCTAAGCGTTTACATACTTAAATTGTTTGCCCGTGGCTTCCAATGCTCGCATTTTTTATTATTTAGCCCCAACCCCAAGCCAAGCCCCGATTGCGACTTATAACAACTTTTCCACTTGAACTTGACCACAAAGCATTTCAATTGCAATTTGATTTTCAGCTTGCAAATATTGCGAGCGAGGGCAGCTCGAGTAGAGCCCGAATGTCATACAGTAATAGTTAATAAAATAAAAAAATATGCTTAAGTATGTTAAGACATTTCAAACAAATATAATGTTAATACAAAAAATATGCATGGAATTCAATACATTGAATAATTATAATTATAAAATTAAATTTTTTGGAAATATTGTAATTTTAAATAAAATTAAATCATTTATTATTACAGGTATTAAATTTTATTTCTAAAATGTAGCATTTATTTATTATATTTTTTTGATATTTTACACAATTTTTCAAATATCTCTCAGAAAAATAAATAAAAAATTAATGCTAAGCTGATAAAAAAATATAATCATAATGGTTATTATATTAATTTAATTTAATTTAATTTTTATTTTAATTTAATACCACACTATTAATTTTTTTTCATATTGTATTTTATTAAGTTTATTGATATAGATCGATATTCAAAAATATATAAATACTTAAATACAAATGTCTTACTATTTATTATTGTATTTCGTTCAACTCACTTGTAATAGAACCCTCGCTTTGCATAGTTTAAGACATGGTTAACTATACTTTGGCTAGTTTGCGGCTTATAACGAGCAAACAATGTGTAGCACTTTGCTCTCTAAAACTCTGAGCTGCCGACCACTCACGCCACACAGTCAGCCGCCGCCTCTTAACTTGGTAACCCGAGTTTTACAGTTTTCTATGGCCAATTGATTTCATTTTTTATTTTGTCAGTGAGCTTGTATGCAAGCAAATCGTCGAGTCTTCGGCCAAAAGCACTTCCTACTATCCATGAATTCCTTTTAGCTTTTGTGCACACGCAAACACACATATATATTTATATGTATTTATATATATACATATATCTTATTGGTTTTATGACTCTTGCAGAGCCATTGACGTTTTTTAGTTCTCTAAGTATTCAGTGTCAAGTTCACGTTGGCTGACCACTTGACTCAAGGATTTCAGTTATGGAACTGCCAATCGATAGAAAACTATTTTCCACATGTAATGCAAGTCCATTTCTCTCTTCTTTTTTAAAGTGTACGCAAAAGAAACCATTTAATGCGAGCAGAGCGTATAACGTTTATAATAAAATACAAAGGGAGTTAGAGAAGTTTAAATTATTTCTAAAACATATATATGAATTATAGATATAGTAATAAATATTATGAAAGTATATATATTATTCTATTTATATATATTTAATTTGATTCAATTAAATATTAATAAAAATGTTAATAAACATAAAAAACATATGTAAATAATATTGCTGATAAATAGTTAAATAAAATTGAAAATCAAATTAATTTAATTTAAATTAAAAAAAACTGCCATAATATAATTAAATTATATTAAATTATGATTTTATTATCTTATAAATAAAATCAATGTAAGATTATAAAGTATATTTTTTTATTAGTAATTAATTTTTAATATTAAAAATTTTCCGATCTGAGTAAAATTTTGAGGTTGAAAGCAATTAACAGTTTTTCATTTCAGTTTTTCTGTGGCATGCGCCAATGCTAAGACTTGCTGCCACTTGCCCTGGTACACGCCTCTCGCATTCAGCCTTAATTGCAATGTCCATAAAATGGAGCTGGGCTCTTTGGGTCTGTCAGCTGTTGATGCCACAAGCTTGTGCGCGCGCTTACGCAGAACTCGGGCACATGTGACTGCATTAATTACGCCCCATGCCCGTGCCACTGCCCCAAGCCCGCCTTCGAGACACGCCCAATGAACAGGCAAATATCTAGCAAAACGTTGGGCGTTCCTCGCATTTTTTGCTTTTTTGTTTTTCTCATGTTGATCTGCAGCGCACGTTGCACGTTGTTCGTTGTACGTTGTTGTTTGGGGGCTGCTGATTGCAAGTTTCAAATTGACTTTGACCGCTACACACAAAACTTGCCACTTGTTGTTGCACACGTTGCACAGAGTCCACAACAATGCAACACACATAAAAGCATGTTTTCTATGTGTGTGTGTGTAAGAGTTCGTAAATATAGCCACGTGATGCAACTGGAAATCGGTTGTGCAAGTCTAAATTTAGTTTGTTCGCAATTCTAAAATAGCTTTGGGCTCGTAAAAGTAAAGTTGCAAAACAGAAAAATTTAAATTTTCAATTTCATACACAAAAATGTTTTTAAAAATGTATTAATATATAGAAATTAATTTAATTATGCAATATATATTATTTTATTATATAAAAAAAATAAATATTAATTAATAAAAAATATAAGTATAAATAAATACATAAATATATAATAAATAAGATAAATATTTAAATGAAACAATTTAACATTTTTAAATATTTTTGGAAATCAAATTTATTTTCTTTAAAATTTTAATTTCTTATTTAATTATTTTAATTTTAATCCACTTCTTTAATTATCATATTGTAATACAATTTATTTCAGTAAACAAGGCCAGTATTTAATTTTCATTCTACTCGTACAATCTCCTCGTTCAGAGCGCCTGCGTCGGTAGCGATGCTAGCACATTAGCCGGCGAAGTGTTCAGAAACAAAAAGCAAAACAGCTACAACTTTGCTGACTAGTTCAAGTTCAATGCAAAAGCAAAATGCAATGAAATGCCTACCAATACAGCGACCCTTCTAACAGCAGCGCTACGGAGAGAGCACAGCAACGATGTTATGTACTCAGAGCAGCGGTGTAACGTTCTCCGAGCAGCGCTGTAAACTTAAACAGCGCTGTTAAGTTTTTACAGCAGCGCTGCTTCGTTCATTAGCAGAAGCAGAAGCAGCAGCAGCAGCAGAAGCGTTGTAGCACTCTCACTGCTGTTATAGCTATAGGCAGGCGAGTTGCCGACGCAACGTCTATGACGTTGACTTCGTACGCACTCGTGTTGCTTTGGCCGCTATGTCGACGAGGACATGTCTGCAGGCATTTGAGTCTGTCGCGGCAACTCAAATGTTACGGACGCGAGCTGTGCGAGAATATATTAACAGCGCCGATCAGTTTCATGATAAAGATTTCAGAATTGGTCATAAATCAAACTTTGCAGAGTGTGAAAATATTTATTTAATTACTGCAAAAAAAATATTATCAAAATCTTTTTTATTAAATTAATAGTGCTTAAATCTACTACATGCAATAATAATTTAAATAATAATACATTTATCAAAACAAAATGAACTGAACTGAAAACTAGCTTGATAAAAATTAAATAAAATTTAATAATACATTTTTTGTGTACTAGTTGCTTAAAAATAATAAACTTATAAAATATAATATTCTTAGAGGCATAAATTATACATTATATTATATATACATTATAAAAAAAGTAATTATCATTATAAAATTTAACTTACTAAAAATTATAAATCTATATATGGTGGTAATAAAATGTATTTATTATTAACATATTTTCTATTATTTACAATATTTTTTTTTAATAATTAGATTTTATTGAATTGAAATTTTAAGTAAAATATTTAAAAAAAAATCATTTTAACTTTTGGAGGCTCCAACTCAATTGATTTTTGCGTTGAGCTTTGTAATGTTTTATAATGCATTAAATTGAGTCGAATAATAATTGGCTTTTACGCGTTGTCATTAAGTGTATTACAAAGTGCTTACACTGGAAAAAACTATAACAAATGAATGCTGTGAATGATGTGGAAATTTATATATATATATATATATATATATTTCAGACTCAATAAAAACAGTGCTCGAGGCGTGGTTGTTAAACAAAAATTGTAGCTAATATTTTATAATTGTCTATTTTTAGCAATGAATCGTGCAAATTAACAACTTGTGCTACATGGCGTATGCGCAATTTGCAAAAATTTGAATTGCTGTAAAATTTGAAAAAAAAAAAAAAAACAAAACCAAACAAAACAGAAAACCAGAAATACTGAACAAAATATAATTATATTTACATTTATGTGAAATAGAGCATTTCAATTTCAGAAATATTTTAAAATATATATATATATATATATATATATATTTATACAAGTGATATAAATATATATGTGCTAGTGAAAGTTGAAAGTTAGCCCATGCATAAAACTTGCCAGTCAAATTGCGCTTTGCATGTTAAACCATGTGAGAAACTAGTTATTCCAAGTGCACAAATCAAAAAAGGCAAGAAAAAAGTACGCAAAACTAAAATCAAGAAGCTGCCAAGCGGAGACAAAAGCTAAAGAAAACTAAACTAAACGAAAAACTGAAGACAAAGCACACAAAAAATAATACTAAAACGAGTACGAAAACTCACTGGAAAAAGCAACTTGAGCGTGCAACTGCAACTGACAGCTGCAGCTAAGGAAAAAATAAGAAAACTCCAAAGAAAATTCCCCTCGTTGGTAAGTGAAAATCTCTTTCACCCACTCATATCTTTCAATTAATATTTTGCCCAATTTATGGGACTTGAATTGGTGTTGTTGTAAGGCTCGGTGTGAGCTGTCAAATGATTTTCAATTGTTCCGAATTTATCTGACACAAAAAATGGTATCAGTCTGTGCTCTTCACCTGCGGCAGATGGAGCTTCCCCTTTTATTTCGCGTTTTTTTGTGGTTTGCTGCTGTGCGTGTTCGGATTAGTAAAAACATTTTGGCAGCTTAGCTTTTGGTTCATTAAGGCCCGTTGGATATTAACTCAAGCACATTTGTTTTGTGCGAGTTGATATACTCTGTCATTCCAGAAATGGGGTGTATTGCGTATGTCGTGGAGTAGTTGCTAACACTTCAAGACATGTATATATTGACTTCAGAGTCTTTCGGGCAACCTTTCAATGTTTTAATAGACTTTGATTAGGTATATACAATTGTGTTCATATAAATAGTAGTGCTGCACTACACATAACGTAAATCAAGCATAACGTAAACCAAAATCATCAAAATATGTTAAACTTAATATTCGTTTGAACTTGTTTTCAAACAGATTTATCATTTCAATTTTCAATTTTCCGTCCAACATTTAGTCTCCAGTCGCACAACAATTTTCATGAACAGAGCTGTGTTAAATGGCATAGCTTCAGCTAATATGACATGCAAGTCTAGTATTAAAGCTACTTTTATGGCCTGTCAGCCTCTGGCCATTTGCTTCAGCAACCCTCTTTATCACTTCGTTAATCAAGAGCATGTCAAAATTCTTCTGAATTCTTTGTAACTTACATAAAAATGTACGAAATACCTTGAAATAACAAGGCCTCCTGTGTGCACTCTTTCAGACAGTTGCCCAAAGCTGAGTTCAGTTGATTCCGTAATAGAAGAACAATGTATTATAAGTGTTTTATTTCGATCTGTTGGTCATAAGCCAGTAAATGTTGCGAAGCATTTGTTCGGCTCGTGCCTTATGCCTGCTTGAGGCACTTGTGAGGCAACAGTTGCTCTTCTGTGTATGGCAAAACGAATCTTAGAGTTATTCCATTACTTTGTATTTAAGTAAATGGAAGGTTGATTCAAATAATTTATATATTCTTTATATGATTCATTATTTGATGTTTGCATGTGTTCAGCATGTACTTAAAATCCCCAACATATTTAAAGCTTAAATTATTTTATTTATTAATCAAAAAGAGCTTAAATTTGCTCTCAATATCTGATTGAGGTAAATATAATTAATCATCGATAAAAACAGATTTAAGTATTACCAGCTTGCTCTGTCCACATCCATTCTTAAGCTCATGACATTTGCTTTTATTTAAAAAAAATATTTTTGATAACTTTCTTAAACAAAGTAACTGACTACATTTAATTTCTGAAATAAATATATATTGTAATGAAATGTATATTTTATAAATATATATTCCAGATGCAAAGAAATTCATTTACTTATAATCACACGAGTTTCCTGAAAGCAACACAATTTTCAATTTAATTTATTTCAATAGAAATCTGCATGAGCAAATCCGACCTCAGATCTTTCGTTCGGCAATGCTATATATGCATAAGTGTGACACATGTGTCATATAAGCATTTATGTGTCAGGATTACTTTCAAAAGCCTATTAAAATCCCCATTATCGAGTGCACAAAGCAGCCAAGGCTTAGCAATTCCTAATTCCAAGAAAACTCTTAACAAAATCTGCATCAACCCGGACACGTGTGGTTTTGCATTGTAGCACTTACCTGTTTCCGGTTAATCGAAGCACGATGAGCTCTAGAAAAATACCAAAAATGGCAGCAATAGAAGAACACGATACCCATGAGATTGACTTGAAGTGATTTAAGCTGAAAAACCGCAAAGCGTGCACATTTCCGGCAATTTCCTGGCCGGATACCTGACGCTCAGCTCACACTCCTCGCCGCGCACAGCGTGATTTAGGCCTCATCGGTGTGGGCTACAGCCAAATGTGGCGTAAATGACAAACATTGTCAACTTTGCTAGTTGCTTCCATTCACACTCTCTAATTGAATTTCCCTCGCAATTCTCTCGACGAACGATTTTAATGAAGCTCGTTGCTGCTCTCCCTTTTAGAACGAGTCTTGCCGCTAAGCACCTCATTCGCATTTACTTCGAGTAATTGACTCATTCATTATTGATTGTGGTCCACAATTTTTGCGCATTTCCTCGGGCTACGAAATCAAATTGCCATCGTTTCCATTCATCAAAAAAATGATTTTAATTAATTTCAAGCGTAGCTGAGTTGTTTATCAAGCAATTAAAATTGTGAATTATTAGAAAGCAGAAGTCGGAGAAAAGCACAGAAATATTTTATTTAGATTTAGGTGTTGTTAGGGGCATTAGCTGAATTCAAATTAAAATTTAAATTCATAATATTAAATTTCGGTTTTATTATCTAAGAAAATGTTATAAAGAAAAACAACAGATGGATGAAGGTTAGAGAAGAGAGAAGAAGTGGTTTCTATTATCTTGTCATGAGTTTGTTGCAAGAGAGGGGAATAAGAAGAGTTAGTAGAGAGTAAAGAATAGAGTGTAAAGAGAGGAGTGAAGCGAGAGAGGATATAAAAGATAGAAGAGAGGAAAGAGATCGAAGGGATGGTAGACGGCAAGTATATAAAAATATTTTTAAATTCTATTTCACAAGTATTAAATGCTGCTAATAATTTTTTTTATTTATTAATCTTCAACTGTGAAAAAAAAAAATTAAAAATTAGATATTGAAGACCTCTTAGAGTTAAGCAGAAGAATACATTTTATAAAGAAGAATCATATTTATACTATAAAATAAACAAGTCATCCTCTAAGTATCTTATTCTGTTGTTAAAGTTAAGAAAAATTATTTTGGCTAATCATTTAGTCACATTTGCAGTACTTTCTAAAAGGAAAATATTTATGTGATGTGCACTATTAAATACTTTTAAAAATACTTAATTATTAATTAATTTTTTATCTAAAATATCTCTAAAGGAATTTTGTATGCAACGTCCACACATTCTCGCCTGAAGCTCAGCATATTTAAAGCTAATTTTATACGAGTTTTTCAGTCCATCTAACAGCAATTGCTGCTACAATATCCGGGCTGGGCGCATTTATAATTCAGCATTATAATAAAAATAACGTAATTTAGTGTAGCTACAGCTCGGACCATGTTAGTTATTTTTTATATAGCATACTTTTTGGGCATAGCTGAGCGTTATGAGGCCACAAGCTGATTGTCGAGAGCGATGGGGTGAGCAAAACCGACAGAATATACGAAAAGCAAAAGCAAAAGCAAAAGCAAAGCAAATTCCTTTTATTGCCACAGAAGTGCGACCCGAGCGAGCGGAAGCGGAAATGCGTTGTTATGGCTGCAATGGCATATTGACTTGTGTGGCTGCCCGCAAAACTATGTACAGAGAGAGATAGAGAGAGCGAGAGTATTTTTGGGGCTTCAGCAGCAGCTGCTGCTTTGCTTCTTGACTAGAGCTTTCAGGCTTCACTTTTATTGTCAGCTCAAGTAACAAAAATATTTTTCAGTAAATTTATCTTATGGCTCCTCGACCCACGCCGCATTAGAGTCCAAAGTAACGAATATAGTGTCCAAATATCCTGAGGGCTTAAGACTAGCTCGGCTCGACTCGGCTTTAGCCTTTGCCACAGCGAGTCTGCTATATTAAAAATTCCACAAGTGCAGCTGAGCTTGTTGATGCCGCAGGTACAAATTCCACTTGGCATTGCGATTTTCCTGTTATTTTGCTTCGATTGCTTAGCTAAGGCGTTCCACTTCTATGATTAACAAATGTCTACAAAAGCAAATCTTAGAAAATAATGCGTTTTCATATATATTTGAGGCTGCGGGCTTGCCTGTGATTTGTTTTAGAAAAATATTTTTATCTTTATGCATGAAAATATGATGTTAAATTTATGGTATAAAATTTGAGTTTGAAACACTAAAAAATTTTTCATATATATTTTATTTATATTTATATAAAATATTAAAATTTTCTTATCAATTGAGTTAACATTTATTAAATATTGCTCATAAAAATTTCTGCTTAATCAATTTTCTTTTGAAAAAAATATTAATAAAACATTTGATTAGGAAAGTCAAAACTTCTAATTGCAAAAAGAAGTTCAAATTGAGTGTATATCATTTTAAATTGAAAATAAATATTTAACAATTTTTCATTTAGAATTTACCTAAAATTAAATGTAGTCTTAATAAAAATAGTTCAAAGCCTAGTTGGCTGTGCCAGAAGAGAGTATAAAATGGCTTTAACTTGATATTTGAAATGCAAATTGGTATCAGGAAGTATGAAGGAACATTTTCTCTGTGCACAAGTGATATGTATCGATGAATATATTATAGCAGTAGGTGTTTGGTGTACAAAATTTCAGACATGCCTCAAAGGCCTTGAGAACATTCAACCCCTTCTCTCATTGCCCGTTAGCCTGTTAACCTGCTTAGCTACTATTAGCGGCTCTCTTCTTTTACATTTTTTTGGTTCAGAAATGTTATAAGCTAGAATAACATTTTCCTAGCAATTTAGGTTTAAGGCTGTTGCATATTTCAGTCGTAAATTATACGCATGGGAGAAGTTGATGTGCCTATGCATAAAGCCCTCGAGTATCGTTGTGATTTGCATATATTTTGCATGCTAATGTGTGGGTGTGCGAGACTATGATACAATCTAGTTACCTCTATGTCAGCTGGCATTTGCACCTGCATAAATGTGTGTGTGCCTTAATCCATTCTAATTTCTTCGACTTAAATGCCACATTAAATCATTTTAGTCCAACTGACTTTTGGCCTGGCTCCATTCAACCAACTATTTAGGGTTCAAAGGGCATCGATTTATCATATCTTGTTGCCATCCACATTCTATCTGTTTGCATAATGACCCAAATAAACATTTGCCATGCCCATGTCTTTCGCTTCGGCTTAGTCCTCACGCAGACACCGCCCGAATGGCTGAGTT